AGCGCACCAAAACCCCAAAGGTAAGTGCATAAATGCCAAGAAATGAAAGGTAGGGATGGTTTTCGAAATTCACCCCAAAGGTAGGGACGTTTGGTGCTAATTAGCCTTAATTTATCAATAGTATTGACACAAAGAGTTTAGTCAAAATGACTCGTATAGTTTGATACATCATGTGATTAATGAATCGAGTCGAGCTAGCTCGTGAGCCTAAGTTCAGGGCTCAGTATCGACTCGTAAAAAAATGCTCGAACTTTTTGGGCTCTAGCCGAGCCTGGGCTTGGCCCAAACTTTGGCTCGAGCTTTTGTCAAGTCGAGCTGAGCCGGCTCACGGACTTTTCAATTTATTTATTTATTTTTATTTTTTACTTGAATATACGAAAAATTGATTGTTAATTTATAAACAACAAAGTCAATTATACAAGTCGTTGAATTTTACAAACTAAGTGGACTTGAAAACGACCACACAGCTAGCCCAGGTTTGAGCCAAATCTCATTTTTGAGGCTTGATCCGAACGTTTGCTAGTACAAACAAGCTCCATGCAGCCGGTGCAGACTTGGCTAGGACTTTTTTCAAATTGATGAGCTCGTTTGCCATCACTAGACACATCTAGTTGTCCGTCTATGTAGTCGTTATAGAGCCTGTTTGGTACAGATTCTCATTTTCTACAGTAAATCAATTCTCATTTTCAACCTCACATTTTTCAATAAAATAATATTTTCGATCACATCAATACCTTTTTTTTCTTTTTCAACCACACATTTCCTATCATATCATTATTCAAAAATCAATTCTTCCCCCAAAAATTTCTAGCAAACACACTCATAAAAAGTGACTTATTTCACTCATAGCGTCAAACAGTACTACTATGAATACCGATGGTTGGGCTTCCAGGCTGACAAGACCAATACGATAATAGAGTGAAAAGGCCCAACATAACTAATATAAGGGTCTCAAACTAGGGCACAAATCGTAAGGTACAATATGTGTAACCTAAGGATCTACGCATGCTGAATAAGTTCGCTTGATTAGACACTGGTTTTCTGCTTCAACAATTGCGTTATCCAGTTCTTCTTATTGATTTCGTTTCAGTTTCCCTGAAGGAATAGAAAAAGGGAAAATGATGGAGCATGAAGGTAACACGAACCCTACTCATAGCAAGACAACTGGGCTACCGCGCAAGCGGTTTTATCGAGCACGAGCTCACAGCAACCCTTTAAGCGATTCCCATTTCCCCGTTCCGATATCACCTAGCCAGGTTGATTATTCCGCCCATTATCCCCAATTATTTCCCTCACCTGATAAATTTGATGGTTCGAAAAGGATTGAATTTGCGGACGTTGGATGTGGATTTGGTGGGCTTCTTATTAGTCTTTCAACTATTTTCCCCGAATCACTTATGATTGGGATGGAATTGAGAGATAAAGTAACCGAGTACGTGAAGGAAAGGATTGTAGCTT